ACCAAGGCACCAAGAGTGCACCAAGAGTGTCCACCCCAGGTAACTGGGGAGGATGAGCTACTGGGCTCTACAGGACACCTGGCGCGCAGGGCCACTCTATCAACACAGGGAAGCTGCCAAAATGCGGAGACAAAGAAACAGGTCACAAATGGCAGAAATGGAGGAAAGCAAACGATTGGATATAGAGTTTAAGGCCACGGTTATAAGGTTTTTCAAGAATTTTATGGAAACCGCCGATAAATTTAATGAATCCCTCAATAAGTATAGGGAGACCATGGAGGACATGAAAAAGGACCAACTAGAAATTAAGCATACACTGACTGAAATAAAGAATAATTTACAGAGATCCAGCAGCAGAAAAGAGGATCCCAAGAATCAAGTCAAAGATTTGAAATACAAAGAAACAAAAAATACCCAACCGAAAAAGAAAAAAGAAAAGAGATTCCAAAAATATGAAGATAGTGTAAGGAACCTCTGGGACAACTTCAAGCGTACCAACATCAGAATTATAGGGGTACCAGAAGGAGAGAGAGGGCAAGATATTGAAAACCTTTTTGAAGAAATAATGACAGAAAACTTCCCCTACCTGGTGAAAGAAATGGACTTACAAGTCCAGGAAGCGCAGAGAACCCCAAACAAAAGGAATCCAAAGAGGACCACACCAAGACACATCATAATTAAAATGCCAAGAGCAAAAGATAGAGAGAGAATCTTAAAAGCAGCAAGAGAAAGACAGTCAGTTACCTACAAGGGAGTACCCATACGACTGTCAGCTGATTTCTCAACAGAAACCATGCAGGCCAGAAGAGAGTGGCAAGACATATTCAAAGTGATGAATAGCAAGAACCTGCAACCAAGATTACTTTATCCAGCAAAGCTATCATTCAGAATAGAAGGTCAGATAAAGAGCTTCACGGATAAGAAAAAGCTAAAGGAGTTCATCACCACCAAACCAGCATTATATGAAATGCTGAAAGGTATTCTTTAAGAAGAGGAAGAAGAAAAAGGAACTCTTACCATTTGCCACAGCATGGATGGAACTGGAGAGCGGATAAATACCACAGGATCTCACTCATTTGTGGAATATAATGAACAACATAAGCTGATGAACAAGGACTGATCCAGAGACGGAGAGGCATTGATTGGACTGTCGGGACTTGGAGGGAAGGTAGGGGAGGGTGGGGGTAAGGGGGAAAGATCAACCAAAGGACTTATATGCAAGCATATAGGCCTAATCAATGGACATGGACAACGGGGGGGTGAGGGCATGAGCGGGGGTGGGGGGGGTGGGGGGTAGAGGGTAACGTGGGGACAAGGACACATATGTAATATCTTAATCAATAAAAAATATATAAAAAAAAATTTTAAGAGATTGAAATCATATCAGTTATCTTCTCTGCCTTAATGTTATGAAACTAGAAACCAATTGAAAGAAAAAAAAAAGAAAAAACACAAATACCTGGAGGCTAGATAACATGTTATTAAATAATAATTAGTTAACAATGAGATCAAGGCAGAAATCAAAAGGAAGATACAAATAAATGGAAGCATATAGTGTGTTCATGGATAGGAAGAATGAATATCATTAAAATGTTCATACTACCCAACGTAAGCAATAGATGCAACACAATTCCTATCAAGAGACCAATGGAATATTTTGCAAAATTATAACAAATATTCCAAAAGTTTATATGGAACCTCAAAAAGACCCCAAATAGCCACGCAGTCTTGAGAAAGAAGAACCAAATTGGAGGAATCATGCCACCTGATATCAAACTCTATTACAAGGCCATAGTAATCAAAACAGCTTGGTACTGGCATAAAAACAGACATATGGATCAATGGAACAGAATAGAGAGTCCAGAAAGAAACCCACGCATTTATGGCCAATTAATATTTGACAGAGGAGGCAAGAACATACAATGGGCTAAAGACAGTGTATTTAATAAATGGTGTTGGGGAAATTGGATGGATGCATGCAAAAAAATGAATCACCTTTTCACACCATACACAAGAATAAACTCAATATGGATTAAAGACTTAAATGTAAGACTCAAAACCATAGAAATCCTAGAAAAAAACATGGGCAGTAAAATCTTGGATATTTCTTGTAACAATATTTTTTCTTCTATATCACCTTGGCACAGGAAATAAAAGCAAAAATAAACAAATTGGACTACATCAAACCAAACAGTTTTTGTACAGCAAAGGAAACTAAGAAAAGAAAGACAACTCACTGAATGGGAGAATATAGTCACCAATAATACAACTGATAAGGAGTTGATACCCAACATTTATAAAGAACTTGTATAACTCAACACCAAAAAACAAACAAACAATCCAATTAAAAAATGGGCAAAGGATCTGAATAGACACTTTTTCAAAGAGGCTATACAGATGTCAAATAGGCATATGAAAAGATGCTCAATGACACTAGTTATCAGATAAATGCAAATTAAAACCACAATGAGATATCACCTCACACTTATCAGAACGGCTGTCATCAATAAATCAACAAACAACAAGTGTTGGCAAGGATGTGGAAAGTGAACCCTCATGCACTGTTAGTGGGGATGCAGATTGGTGTAGCCATTATGGAAAACAGTATGGAGTTTCCTCAAAAAATTAAAAATGGAACTGCCTTATGGTATTTTAGGAAAATGGAAACAAACAAATAAAGCTGGGTTAACAATACTTTGAATAAATAACCAGAAGTGGAATTGCTGGGTCCTTCTTTGTTTCTTGTTATAGCCTTTGTTTTAAAGTCTATTCTGCCTGGTATAAGTATTGCTAACCCAGCTTTGTTTGTTTGTTTCCATTTTCCTGAAATATCGTTTTCCAACCCTTTGTGTGCCTTTTGATCTGAAGTGAGTCTCTTGCAGACAGCATATGTAAGGGTCTTGTTTTCTTATCCTTTCAGCTACCAAATATCTTTTGATTGAAACTTTTAATCCACTTACATGTAATGTTATTATTGATAGATATATATCCAAAGAAACCCAAAACACTAATTTGAAAAGGCATATGCATTCATATGTTCATTGCATCGTTATTTACAATAGCCAACGTATGGAAACAAACTAAGTATCCATATCAAAAGAAATAGTGTGTATATATACAATGGAATATGACTCAGTAAAAAAAAGGAAATCTTGCCATCTGCAACAACATAGAAGATATTGTGCTGAGTGAAATAAGTCAGACAGAAAAAGACAAGTGTTACATGATTCCACTTACATATGTAAGCTATAAAACAAAATAAATGAACAAAGAAAACAAAAACAAACAGAACAAATTGATGGTTGCTAAAGGGGAGGAGGGTTCGGAGGGTGGGTGGAAAAGGTTAAAGGAGTAGTTAAGATAGTTACAAAATAGTCATAGGGATGTAAAGTATAGCAGAGGGAATATAGTGAATAATAATGTAATGACTATGTATGGTGTCAGATGGGTACCAGATTTATCGGGGTGATCACTTCGTAAGATATATAAATGTCTGATCACTACACCTGAAACTAATATAATATTGTATGCGAACTGTAATTGAAAAATAAAAAATTATTTAAAAAGAAAATAATAGAATAAAAAGGAAGTTCTGGCTTATTAGTCATTGAGCTGCTGATCTGAAAGATTATGCCACTTCATGGGCCAGGACCACACTACATAACATGGAACACTCTACAATCTCTTATATAAAGAAAATTTTATTCCTGAAAAGATCACATAAACAAAGTTTTTGTATACAAAGTTAACAAATGTGGAAAAGTTAATATTTACAACATTTTCCATACAGTACATGATAATTTTCTTTGTATGCTTTAACAGAATGGTAAATAGAGGAAAAACCAAAAGCAACAGAAAATCTGTTTGAGGAATAATACTTAATTAGGAACAAAATTAAGAATATTCTTTAGTATTTTAAAGTATATTATATGAAATTTAATTTATTTTATCAGGACTACATTTTTTCCATTAGATTGGCACTAATATTGCTAACACACTTTTTCATGTTCAGCAAAATCCCATTTAGCTGCAGAAATGAATTCTACATAATATCTGAAAAAGATACTGCACAAATACAAACATTCTGTAGTATTCTAAATGTTAAAAGACAAAAGTTAAAACAAAAGTATAAGCAACTGTAGTGGTCATAATAACACAATCCTGGATGGGCATGAAACATTAAAAAAAGAAAATCAATTGCACTTGGCTTAATTTATAGAAGAGTAACAGTCCATCTACTAATCCTGCAGGACATTTTATTTTTAAAATGCAGAAGGATCAGCAAGCAACGTAATAGAAACAACATTAGACACTCTTTCAACGAGCACCTTATTTCAGTTGTGTAACAGAGCTGTGAAACTCCTAAAACAATGAGACATAAAATTCACATACTGAAGACGGTAAGGTACAGTAAGTGGATTTTTTAGTTGAATACCCATTATGACACCTCTGGTGTGCCAACTCTTTATATACTACAAAAGAATACTATTTTTCAATTTTCTTAGCAATTCAGTGTAAAAGCTACCAAAGTAGTGTGAAAATAAGATATCAGATAACATAATAAAATATTTGAGTAGATTTTCTAGGATATCTAAAAAAAGTTCAAATACATATAAACTTATTTTCAAATATATAAAAAAGATGTAAAGATAAGTTTTAAATACTTCAGCAAAGAAAAATCTTGATTTTATATCATAAAAGTAAAATAGCATTGTACACCTTAAAATACTTTTAACAAGAGCAGAATCTTCATAAATAAAAAAAGGAAGATTCCTCTAACTCCCCCCTCCCACACAATTTAAAAAATATTATTAACCTGCACATTTCTGTTTTCCAGATATATTGTTGTCATTAACCTCTATGAGAAATGAATCATATTATTCTCAGCATTTCTTGTTTCCAGTGTAACAGCAGGCGATGCAACTGTAAGTACAAAAGAAGACTATAACAGTGGTTCTTATATGACGGTGCACTGGCCGCCTCCAGTGTAACACACTTACGCCTCTAAGTGGTGGGAGAACTTGGTTTTCAAGTATCTGAGTGACTGCCAGCGCCCTGCTCTTTTCTAACTCCGGAAGCCGAGTGGCTGAGCAGTGATGTGGAGCCTTTCAGGCTGCTTGGCTCTGAAGGACAGGGAACCTGCAAGCTGTTGCTCTGCGCCAGGCCAGTTTCAGTAACATCAGTTTTTGGAGCCACCCTAGGTAAAGAACAGAAATTGACTTACATACATTCCAAGCACAGATGTGATGCCAGATGTCCTTGTAACTGCTACTCGCTTTCATGAGTTTTACTTCCAGCCAGTGTCCACTTTATCATAGGATAGTTTACTAAAACTGTACGTCTACTCTAACACCTCAAAACACAAATACTTTATTTTCAAATAATTTTTGCTAACTCTGGAAACTGTCAAGCACCACCCATGCATGGGCTGAGCATGGTGTCTCCTGGGGAATACAATTAATAAGACAGGCTTCCTGCCCTCAGATTAGCAAACATCTTATTGATTTTCCACCATGGGTCAGACTATGTAAGCAGTGGGGAATACAACGGTAAGACCTCAGCTCTGCCTTTTAAGGAGCTTACAAATCTAGTGGAGGATGAAAGCATGTATCTAATTACAATCCAGGGATGCAAAAGCTGTTACAGCAACACAGAGAAGGTGCATTTGACCTAGCTTGGAAGGGTGAGGTAAGACAACCTTGAGACCTTCAAGTAGTTGTCAGCATTCTGGCTAATTTCATGTATAGCTGTGTTTGGATCACCTATGACTATATGGAAAATTCCATTAAAGATAATGTCAATATCCTTTCATGCTCAGAAAATAAAAACATCTTATAATCATCTTTGTCTACCAGGGAGAGCGGTATAAAGCCTGCAAAATCATTTGGTCTGGCCCTGCCAAGGCATTAGGGGTGAGTTAATTAAATGTTTGACCAAGTATAGCAGCCTAATTTTTAAGTGGATAATTTTGTATGGCCCCCTAATGATGTTATAAATATCCAAAGGCCTTTGGCAGAAAAAAGGTTCCCCACCCCTGGCGACTCTAAACTGGCAAATACCTTTTAGACACTACCATAAAGCAGTACTAATGAAAACTTAGCCTGAAGATGGTATGATGGAGTACGTAGAAGTTACACTCATCTCTTCCCAAGACCAAACTGGAATTTCAACTAAAATATAGACCAACCTTAATAAAACTTAGCCTATATTTCTGATAAATCATAACATTGACCTAAATATACATGCAACTCTTTTTTTTTTAATTTTTTAAATATATTTTTTATTGATTAAGATATTACATATGTGTCCTTGTCCCCACGTTACCCTCTACTCCCCCCCCCCCCCCGCTCATGCCCTCACCCCCCCGTTGTCCATGTCCATTGATTAGGCCTATATTCTTGCATATAAGTCCTTTGGTTGATCTTTCCCCCTTACCCCCACCCTCCCCTACCCTCCCTCCAAGTCCCGACAGTCCAATCAATGCCTCTCCGTCTCTGGATCAGTCCTTGTTCATCAGCTTATGTTGTTCATTATATTCCACAAATGAGTGAGATCCTGTGGTATTTATCCGCTCTCCAGTTCCATCCATGCTGTGGCAAATGGTAAGAGTTCCTTTTTCTTCTTCCTCTTCTTAAAGAATACCCTTCAGCATTTCATATAATGCTGGTTTGGTGGTGATGAACTCCTTTAGCTTTTTCTTATCCGTGAAGCTCTTTATCTGACCTTCTATTCTGAATGATAGCTTTGCTGGATAAAGTAATCTTGGTTGCAGGTTCTTGCTATTCATCACTTTGAATATGTCTTGCCACTCTCTTCTGGCCTGCATGGTTTCTGTTGAGAAATCAGCTGACAGTCGTATGGGTACTCCCTTGTAGGTAACTGACTGTCTTTCTCTTGCTGCTTTTAAGATTCTCTCTCTATCTTTTGCTCTTGGCATTTTAATTATGATGTGTCTTGGTGTGGTCCTCTTTGGATTCCTTTTGTTTGGGGTTCTCTGCGCTTCCTGGACTTGTAAGTCCATTTCTTTCACCAGGTAGGGGAAGTTTTCTGTCATTATTTCTTCAAAAAGGTTTTCAATATCTTGCCCTCTCTCTCCTTCTGGTACCCCTATAATTCTGATGTTGGTACGCTTGAAGTTGTCCCAGAGGTTCCTTACACTATCTTCATATTTTTGGAATCTCTTTTCTTTTTTCTTTTTCGGTTGGGTATTTTTTGTTTCTTTGTATTTCAAATCTTTGACTTGATTCTTGGGATCCTCTTGTCTGCTGTTGGATCTCTGTAAATTATTCTTTATTTCAGTCAGTGTATGCTTAATTTCTAGTTGGTCCTTTTTCATGTCCTCCATGGTCTCACTATACTTATTGAGGGATTCATTAAATTTATCAGCGGTTTCCATAAAATTCTTGAAAAACCTTATAAACGTGGCCTTGAACTCTATATCCAGTCGTTTGCTTTCCTCCATTTCTGCCATTTGTGACCTGTTTCTTTGTCTCCGCATTTTGGCAGCTTCCCTGTGTTGATAGAGTGGCCCTGCGCGCCAGGTGTCCTATAGGGCCCAGTAGCTCAGCCTCCCCAGTTGCCTGGGGTGGACACTCTTGGTGCACTCTTGGTGCCTTGGTTGTTGTAGGATCACTGGGAGGAATTGACCTCCAGGCCAATTGGCTGTGAGAACCAGCTGTGTCTAAAGTGGGAGAACTTCTGTGCTGAAGACACCCTTCTGGGGCAAGACTTGCTTCAGTGGGGCTTTGGTGCTCACTGAGTCTGCTCCCTGAGTGTGTCCCTTATGGATCTGAGGAGTTGCAATCTGGATGGTCCCCCTCTGACCACTGGGTACAGTGGCTCCTGGATCTAAGGAGGTGCTAATTCAGCCTCTGCCTGAGGCCACACAGCAGGCGCCACGAAGAGGCTCAGCTGTGAAGCAATGCCAGCCGCTGCGGGGCCTTGGGCCTTCTCTTGGAAGTTCCGGGTCTGCCTGGCTCAGCTGCAGTTAGGTACATTCACATGCAAAAGCCTCTGCCGCAGCCTGGGTGGGGCGAGGTCTCAGGGAATCAAAGGGCGGATCAAGGAGCTATGGCTGATTCTCCGCCCGGAGTCGTGGGTCTCAGTGACCCGCTAATTGCTGCAAGCACCTCTGAGGGAAAGCCGCCTTCAAGTTCGCCCGCTTCCCGACAGACCAGCTTCTCCCCGTATGAGTCCTGGGTCCCCAGAGACTTCCCGGAACCGGAGTTCAGAGCAGTCGGGAGCTTGTGATTCAAAAAGACAGCCGCATCCTCAGGTGCCACCCTCTTTCCTCGCGCGCGCGCGCCGTACCTCTGCACTTGTACCTCTGCACTTCACCTCTGCAGCTCCTCTGGCTCTCGGCGTGCTTTTCTTTCCTTCTAGTTGTAGAATTTACACTCAGCCAGCCTTCCTGTTGTTCTGGATGATATTTGCTCTGTCCTTTGCGGTAATTTTCAATTGTTGTGAGAGGCGGCAATTTCCCGGTGTTTACCTATGCCGCCATCTTAGTTTCATACATGCAACTCTTAACAATTACCAGAGAAATGAACGTGACTGTTCTACTTGAACAACATCCATGAAGGCCCTTCTCCAAGCTAAGACTTAAACTATAAAATAGAATATTCATAGGCTGAACTACAACTTCTGAAATCCAAACTTCCTTGGATTAGTGTACAAACATTTCATCTCGTAGAATGCTCTCTTTCCAAACATGTTACCCTTTAATAAAAAAATGTATAATGCAGTATTCAAAATAGACATGACTTAAGATAACAAAAGCAAAGCTCACCTTCCTTCGCTCTGTGCACTTTCAGAGACACTGCTCTTGTCATTCCCGTTGCCTGCCCGGCCTTTCCTGCCAGCCTGTTCCCCACAGAGTTTGGAGCTGGATACTGCTGGGGAGGCAGGCTCCCCACAGTCCTGTTCTCTTGGTTTGGGGGTGTTCACTCCGTCTTCTCTCACTTCCCTCACTGATGTTTCTGGAGAGGTTTGAATTTCTGTCAAAGTTTCTTGTCCTAAGTAATCATGGTTAGCGATGGCTACTGCAGAAGTGCCATGATTTGCTGAAGTTCCTGTGCTGGTTCCCATGGATTTGGAGATGACCTTCAGCTTATGTGAACTTGGTTTGTAGTGCTTTTTGTGTTTAACTTTAGAATTGTGCTTTAAGAAAAACTCACATGACTCCTGCAGTACTCTTCGACTTTCACTGATCGGACTGTAAGAAAAGAGAGGATTTACTTAAAAATGGGAAGCGTTATTGTAGAAGCCATAAAGCGTATCACATAGCTGTGCTAAAAGTCCTTATTCAGTACAGTTAAAATTATATAAGATTTATACTTACAAAATATGCTATAAGATATAGTAGTAAGTGGATTGCCATGATGTGAAATCTTTTATGCATACCCTGTTAGTTGCCTTTGTCAGTATACATAGGAGACTGGTAAGGAATTAAATAGGCAACATCAAAGAATGAGGGCAAGGAAACACAAACCAGCCTAAAGTAGAGGACGAACTGTATGTGTATCATATGTAAGTATATCAAATGATAAAGTAAACCAGAAGAGAGAGGACACAGAATATGATTAGTGGTCTTTGCTTCAATTCAACTGTTTTCTTTCTAACATTAAAGTTAGCAAGTTATACTGAAGTTAGTGTGGGTATATAAATATGGAAAAGACATAATAGTGCAAAAAATTTAAAGTCCAGTTAAATGCAGTTCTTCAGATTTCAAAAACTTATTTGTGAAAGTGTCTACAGTTCTTAAATTTTTACCACAAAAAAAGTTCATTAATTAAACCAAGAGGGGATGGTTTAAAAAAAACTCTCTTGTATACTATTGATAATACATAGTATACAATGTACATAAATAACTGAAGTGAACTATTCACTCAGAAATGTAAATCTACTATATTGTTATAGAATATTCCTTAAGTTTGAATTTTTACTATCTTAGGCAAGGTAAATAAGTGAAATTTTAAGTCAACACTATGTGTAATAAAATTTAAAGGTAAGTAATCACCATAATACATCACATCCGAATCATACTTTATAGATTTCCTTACATATACTTGATCCCATTTAATATTTTATCATTGATAAAAAGGATAAAATTATTAAAAGTGCTATCCTCAAAATAATGAATCCAATGAAAGTAGTAATAATATATAATAAGTCATGGAAAGAAAATGCACATTTTATAAATCTTTCATTCATATTTCAACAGAATAGCACATGCCAGCCTATTATAATGAATGCCAGAGGAAAGCATCTCTCTCCAGGAAGATTTCCATACTTGAAACAACTGATATAATAAAGTTCCAGTGCAATGATGATTTAGATAGTTCCTTGGTATTTGAGCTATTTATTTTTAAGATAGTGTCAGATAATTCAATAGGTTCTTACTCTCTCTTGCGATTACGTTTAAAAAACCCAGCCCATTCTGTGCATGTCTTTTTGCTTCCAACCCAGAAGACGGCAGAGATGCCAACAATTAAAGTCATCAGGTATTTTATCATAAATAAAGCCAATTCTGGTCGAGTTTCTGCTTTTGCCTGTAAAAAAATGGTGAATAAAAATTTCAGTGATACATTTTAAGTGAAGTCTATATAGTCAATGTAAAACGAGCAAAAAATATAAATCTTGTCTGATTTTTATACTATTTTATAAATAACTTACATAATAAAGTGTTTTAAGTGTAATATATTCTTTACCTAAGTTCTGAACAAATAACCATATATATACACACACATATATATATGTCAAAATATATACTAGAAAGGGAAAAATACTTAAATATATTTAGGAAAAATGTCCTTCCTAATCTTGGCTTGATTTCCTGAACTTTTTCCCCTTAGAAGTATAACTGCCAAATATTTGCCTCTAAATATTTATATTTTTCCTTCACTTTAATCTACCACAAAAACACACACATTTAAAGTCCTTATAACAACATATTATTTTAGAATCTTTACACATTGTTGGCGTTTATGTTATAAAATCTTGATTTGTTAGAGCAAAATAAATATCATTAAAGTGAAAATTTCATAAAAATTAACCCATACTTTTTTCTAAGCATAAACTTTAATATTATTTTTTAGATGTTACACAAGTATCAAAATATTACACATTCCATATTATATCTTGCTCTTTTCACTTACTAATATTTCTTGGAGCCCATTCTCTATCAGTAGAAATACAGCTTCTCATTCATTTTTAAAGGCTGTTTCTATTGCGTGAACATAATTTACTCAAGTACTCCTATTAATGGATACTTAGGTTATTTTCAACCTATTGCCATTGCAAATCCTGTTGCAGTGACTATCTTTGTATGCAGGCAATCACTCACATCTGTGAGCAGATTCGTCAATAAATTCCCACAAGGGCACGATCAAAGAATATGTGCATTTTAAATGACAGATACTGTCAAACTGCTTTCCATAGAAGGTTGAACTGATTAAATAACAAAGTCTGAGAATGTGTATTTTGCCACAGTTCCACCAACATAGTGGCTATAAAACCTTCAGATGTTTGCCATGTCATAAGTAGGCACATAATTTCATTATAATTTTGTTATTGTTAATCCTCACCCAAGGATTGTTTTTTCCCCACTGATTTTTAGAGAGTAGAAAGGAGGGAAGGGGTGGGGGGAGAGGTTGAGAGAGAGAGAGAGAGAGAGAGAGAGAGAGAGAGAGAGAGAGAGAGAGAGGAACATCGATTGACAGGAGAGAGACACATAGATTGGTTGTCTTTTGCATGCGCCCCAGCAGGCCAGAGATGGAACCTGTAACCTAGGTGCAGCCCTTGACTGGGAATTGGACCAGCATCCCTTCAGTGCTTGCGCCGATGCTCTAACTACTGAGAAACACCGGCCAGAGTTTATTATAATTTTAATTTGCAATTCTCTTACATTTTGCACATTTCAGAGGATTAATATTCTGTGAATCCTCTACATTTTTATACCAGATTGTTGGTTTTTTCTTATTGATTTAAAGAAACTCTTTATAAATCAAGGAAATTAGCCCTTCAACTGTGTTGTGATGTGTGAATAAATTTTCCCAGTTGATTTTCTGACTTTGATTATGGTGGGGGTTTCTGCCATACCCAAAATTTTTTTTAATGTAGTCAAATTTAGCTATTATTTCTTTTAAAGTTCCTGAATTTTATATCATATTTATTAAGTCTCCACTTTAAGTTTAGAATTTTTTCATTGTATCTTCTAGTACTTTATAGTTTCTTTCTTTACATGAAACATAATTTTTAAAAAATCATAGATTTTAAATTTTGGTAGTATTTAATAATTGTATTTTCCTCCTAGTTTGCCAAAAATTCTGAGAATATAGAAAACATTTACTGTGTCAGCATAACTTTAAGACATAGCTCCCTTATTAAATATATAGTAAAAACAGCCTACTGATAACAGGCTGTGGACAGTATGTTTAAGGCAAGTAAAACTATTATTTCCACCCATCAGTATTTAAATAGGCTCCACTATGTTAAAATGTAGTAACTTTCTAGGATATAAATTATTGTGTAAAACTAGAGGCCTGGTGCACAAAAATTTGTGCACTGGAGGGGGGGCCCTCAGCCCGGCCTGTGCCCTCTCAGTCTGGGACCCCTCAGTGGATGTCCACCTGCTGGCTTAGGCCCGCTCCCCAGGGGATCGGGTCTAAGCTAGCAGTCAGACATCCCTCTGGCAGCCCAGGAGCCCTCGGGGGATGTCCACTTGCCAGCAGGGACCAGGTCTAAGCTGCAGTCGGACATCCTTAGCGCTGCTGAGGAGGCTGGAGAGGCTCCCCCCATCACTGCTGTGCTGGCAGCCGTCAGCCTGGCTTGTGGCTGAGCAGAGCTCCCCCTATGGGAGCACACTGACCACCAGGGGGCAGCTCCTGCATTGAGTGTCTGCCCCCTGGTGGTCAGTGTGTGTCATAGTGACCAGTCATTCCCAGTCGTTCTGCTGTTAGGGTTAATTTGCATATTACCCTTTTATTGTATGCCTGGTGCATGGGTAGGGGCTGGCTGGTTTGCCCTGAAGGGTGTCCCAGATCAGGGTGGGAGTCCTGCTGGGGTGCCTGTCCAGCCTGGGTGAGGGGCTGAGGGCTGTTTGCAGGCTGGCCACAGCCTCCAGCCACCCAAGCTCCCAGTGGAGGCTGGCTGGAAGCAGGTATCTGGGATTTTTTTTTTTTAATATATTTTTTATTGATTAAGATATTACATATGTGTCCTTGTCCCCACGTTACCCTCTACTCCCCACCCCCCCACTCCCGCTCATGCCCTCACCCCCCCGTTGTCCATGTCCATTGATTAGGCCTATATGCTTGCATATAAGTCCTTTGGGTGATCTTTCCCCCTTACCCCCACCCTCCCCTACCTTCCCTCCAAGTCCCGACAGTCCAATCAATGCCTCTCCGTCTCTGGATCAGTCCTTGTTCATCAGCTTATGTTGTTCATTATATTCCACAAATGAGTGAGATCATGTGGTATTTATCCGCTCTCCAGTTCCATCCATGCTGTGGCAAATGGTAAGAGTTCCTTTTTCTTCTTCCTCTTCTTAAAGAATACCTTTCAGCATTTCATATAATGCTGGTTTGGTGGTGATGAACTCCTTTAGCTTTTTCTTATCCGTGAAGCTCTTTATCTGACCTTCTATTCTGAATGATAGCTTTGCTGGATAAAGTAATCTTGGTTGCAGGTTCTTGCTATTCATCACTTTGAATATTTCTTGCCAGTCTCTTCTGGCCTGCATGGTTTCTGTTGAGAAATCAGCTGACAGTCGTATGGGTACTCCCTTGTAGGTAACTGACTGTCTTTCTCTTGCTGCTTTTAAGATTCTCTCTCTATCTTTTGCTCTTGGCATTTTAATTATGATGTGTCTTGGTGTGGTCCTCTTTGGATTCCTTTTGTTTGGGGTTCTCTGCGCTTCCTGGACTTGTAAGTCCATTTCTTTCACCAGGTAGGGGAAGTTTTCTGTCATTATTTCTTCAAAAAGGTTTTCAATATCTTGCCCTCTCTCTCCTTCTGGTACCCCTATAATTCTGATGTTGGTACGCTTGAAGTTGTCCCAGAGGTTCCTTACACTATCTTCATATTTTTGGAATCTCTTTTCTTTTTTCTTTTTCGGTTGGGTATTTTTTGTTTCTTTGTATTTCAAATCTTTGACTTGATTCTTGGGATCCTCTTGTCTGCTGCTGGATCTCTGTAAATTATTCTTTATTTCAGTCAGTGTATGCTTAATTTCTAGTTGGTCCTTTTTCATGTCCTCCATGGTCTCACTATACTTATTGAGGGATTCATTAAATTTATCGGCGGTTTCCATAAAATTCTTGAAAAACCTTATAAATGTGGCCTTGAACTCTATATCCAATCATTTGCTTTCCTCCATTTCTGCCATTTGTGACCTGTTTCTTTGTCTCCGCATTTTGGCAGCTTCCCTGTGTTGATAGAGTGGCCCTGCGCGCCAGGTGTCCTGTAGGGCCCAGTAGCTCATCCTCCCCAGTTACCTGGGGTGGACACTCTTGGTGCACTCTTGGTGCCTTGGTTGTTGTAGAATCACTGGGAGGAATTGACCTCCAGGCCAATTGGCTGTGAGAATCAGCTGTGTCTAAAGTGGGAGAACTTCTGTGCTGAAGACACCCTTCTGGGGCAAGACTTGCTTCAGTGGGGCTTTGGTGCTCACTGAGTCTGCTCCCTGAGTGTGTCCCTTATGGATCTGAGGAGTTGCAGTCTGGATGGACCCCCTCTGACCACTGGGTACAGTGGCTCCTGGATCTAAGGAGGTGCTAATTCAGCCTCTGCCTGAGGCCACACAGCAGGAGCCACGAAGAGGCTCAGCTGTGAAGCAATGCCAGCCGCTGCGGGGCCTTGGGCCTTCTCTTGGAAGTTCAGGGTCTGCCTGGTTCGGCTGCAGTTAGGTATATTCACATGCAAAAGCCTCTGCCGCAGCCTGGGTGGGGCGGGGTCTCAGGGAGTCAAAGGGCGGAGAAAGCAGCTATGGCCGATTCTCTGCCCGGAGTCGCACGTCTCAGTGTCCCGGTAACGGCTGCAAGCACCTCTGAGGGAAAGCCGCCTTCAAGTTCGCCCGCTGCCGGACAGACCAGCCTCTCCCCGTATGAGCCCTGGGTCCCCAGAGACTTCCCGGAACCGGAGTTCAGAGCAGTCAGGAGCTTGTGATTCAAAAAGACAGCCGCGTCCTCATGTGCTACCCCCTTTCCTCGCGCGCGCGCGCGAGCCGCCGTACCTCTGCACTTCCCCTCCGCAGCGCCTCTGGCTCTCAGCGTGCTTTTCTTTCCTTCTAGTTGTAGAATTTACACTCAGCCAGCCTTCCTGTTGTTCTGGATGATGTTTGCTCAGTCCTTTGCGGTAATTTTCAATTGTTGTGTGAGGCGACAATTTCCCGGTGTTTACCTATGCCGCCATCTTAGTTGCTTCTCGGTATCTGGGATTTATTTATCTTCTATAATTGAAACTTTGTTGCCTTTTGTGGAGGCCACAGCCGGCCAGGACAGACGGGAAGCTTGGCTTCCTCCATCTCCAGAGCAAGCAAGCCTCCTGCTTGCTCCAGCTCCGTGGCTGCCAGCCGCCATCTTGGTTGGGTTAATTTGCATATAATTGCTCTGATTGGCTGGTGGGTGTGGCTTAGAGTGTAGCAAAGTTTCTGTCAATTTGCATGTTTCTCTTTTATTAGATTAGATAATCAGCCCACACATTGCTTGATTTGATACACTATGATGATAGTACTGATAATCAATATAACATATATTACCAGGTATAAATATTCAAGAAAAATGTATAAAATCTATTTAAAACAAAATTTTTTCATTAAAAACCTCAACTAAAATGATTTAAATTTTTTCCTATTTTCAGAAATTTACTTCTTTAATCTTAACTCCACCTTTATACTAATAAACATCAGGAGCATATGAAACACATTTCATTTCAACTGTACTTTTGTCATTTCTTAACTGTACTGTCAGTTAAGAAATGACAGTATGGTTTAGGCAAAAATCAAGTTTTGTTTCTATAAGCAAATAGTCTGCAAAAAAGTATAAGATAACCCAATCAAATTAAATATACCCAAATAAAATTTCCCCCTATTAACTAAAGAATTTAAAACAACTCCCAATTCAGAAGTTACTTCTCTTTTTTCCCCAAGACCTGTTGTTCTGTCTTTTCTTCATTTCTATTAATCTGCCTTCGCAACCCTATGTAATTTCTAAAAGAACAGCAAAAGAAGACACTTTATTATCATAACAAACTGAAAAACCTTAAGACACTTATCCCAATTTCAACTGATATAGAGGAAATCAATCCTATGTCTACTGGGTTTCTCACCTGAAATTTTAATTTATGCTCATAATTAATTCAAGTATATTTCCAGGAAACATTTCTATGCTAAAATTAAATCATGAAACAATACAAATGATAGCTTTTACCTGATAAGGACATGGGATATGGTACTGACGACAATGGTCAGAGACCCAAGTTATCTCCCAGGTGATCCTGTTCACTTGCTCATAGACGTAACATCCAAGAAGTGTCACTAATGGCACAAGGTACAGGCCACTGAAGACTCCAATTCGAATCATAAATTTCTTTAGTTTTTCTTGGTTACGGCCATCATGCTGTATCACTTGTCGAACGTGATTTAAGGAAATGATCCCAGCTAAAAGAAGAGACAGCCCGACAAACACACAAAGGCACAGTGGCAAGAGTACAAAGTAGCGAGAAGCATCCAAGTCATAAAGGCCAACAAAGCAAACTCCACTAATGTTGTCTCCCTCAACCTTATTCATTGCAAGAAGCATAACAGTCAGAAAACCTGGTGTTCCCCAGGCAACAGCATGAAACCACACTGCTTTTTGTTCAATGGCTTCACAACTCCATTTTCTTCCTGCAGCTAAGAACCAAGTAATGGTAAGAATCACCCACCACACAGTGCCGGCCATTGTGAAAAAATACAAAAACATAAACACAATGGTGCAAGCCTTATTTTGAGAGCCTAGAACTACCGTCTCACCAACTTCTAGCTTCTCATCTGCTTTATTGCAGGCTGTGCTATTGCCTAGCAAGAATCCAATAAAATACATAAGAGACACAATGCTGTAACAGACAGAGTAATATATAATTGGTCTCTCTGGGTATCTGAATCTTTTAACATCAATTAAAAAAGTAAGGAATGTGAACAGAGTTGCACACAGACAAAATATTGAAACTATTCCGATAAAGCTTTTTGCAAACTCTAGCTCTTCGCTTTTAAAATACATGTTGGGGCACGGAGGTGCACACTGGTCAATTCCTAGGAATTTATAGCCTTGTCCCCCAGAAGTCTTAAGATGCCTTGGACACCATATTCCAATGTCTCTTTGGACTTGTTCTGTTTTCTTCTGACGACCAAGAATCTCTGTGTGTGGATCAAGTGTTACAGGAAAAGTCTCATCACAATACTGTAATCTGTAAAAATTATAAAAATTAAATATATAATCAAAATTTTTATTGAGCCACTATTTTAATGCTATGCTTTCCAATTATAAAATAGTTCCTTATGCATTCATAACTGATGGGAAGCCACACAAACCTATAGGATTACAGGTTAGTTGGGCAGAAAGTTTTGAAATTGACTAAAAATTTGTGGTTGTTAATGACGTCCTAACAAACTAACATATATTAAATACAAGGCAAATGAACATACAAATTCCCTTACTTGGAAAACAATCAATTAATAATTTAAAAATAATGTCTGCTCTCAAGACTAAATATTTAAGAAAAAATTATCTTGCTTGGTACTCTCCAGGAAAAAATAAAAAGTACAGGCTTGTCTGTTTCTATGCATATAAAATACAAGTCTTGGAAAAATAAATTTTTATTATCTAATGCCCACAAGCAAAGTAGATAAACCACCTAAGTAAGGTGATGGCTGAACTAAGATCCTTTCCTGGACTGGTGTTAAAGTTCAAGTGACCTTTAAGTTATTAAAGAAGGGCGAGACGATCCCCAAGAGGCAGGCTGAGGACCAGCTTAACTCACGTTGCCATTTTTTTTTTTTTGGTTTGGCTGTTTGCCTTCCTTGTACAGGCATACCTGAGTGACACACGGGAGTATTTGTGTGTCACAATCAGTATTTTTGTACATGATTCCTTGTTGTTGTAAAAGTCTCTGTGAAAGGAGATTTCCTAGATGTAGGGTATGAGCATCTTCAACTTTACTATATACAGTTGACCCTTAACAATATGGGTTTGAACTGCACGGGTCAACTTATATGCAGGGTTTTTTTTCAATAAATAGTTTAAGTGTATTTTCTCTTCCTTATGATTTTCTTAACACCTTTTGTCTAGCTTGCTTTATTGTAAGAATACAGTATATAATACATATAACATACAAAACATCTGTTACCTGTTTATGTTATTGGTAAGACTTCTGGTCAACAGTAGGCTATTAGTAGTTAAGTTTTTGGGGAGTCAAAAGTTATACACGGATTTTCGACTACATGGGAGGACAGCAACCCTAACCCCTAAGTTGTTCAAGGGCAACTGTATTACTCAATTGTTCTTGAAAATAATTAATTTAGCAGAAATTTATGAGTTCCATAAAGTTTCTTCAGTTCACAGATAAACAGAAAGGTAGCTAGCTTCCTTCCCAGATTTATTATATGAGTTCTCATTGTATCAGTACAATATTTCAAATTACAAGCTACCATTGTCCAGAGAAAAGGGAACAAAAATAATTAATAAAGACTAATGTGCAAAAAGGTCAGTGACTTGATAATGAGGTTCATTTCCCCCAGGTAAGGTCAAAGGCAGTATTACATGTTCTCAAAGAACTATGTACCTCGCCTTTGTTATATCTAAGCGCAGTTATAAATTTGCATTTCTTGTATAATTATTTGATTACTCTCCATTCCTTCTACCCCATGGTAAGTTCCCTGAGAATAAGAACCAAGTCTGTTTTTTTCTCACCATTGTGTCCATGACACTTATCACCACAGTGCCTGGTATATGGTAAGGTGTAATAAATATTCGTTGAATCAAATAACGAAAGCCTGTCACTAACATTCTGGAAAGCTAACACCAATATTAAAATATCATTATCATTAGTTGTTTTTGGTTGAAAACATAATTTACCTGTCACATTTAAGTTCCTCAGGCCACTGGATCCCGAAAGTGTCAATTAAGTTTTTGCAATCAGAATATACTTTTTCACAAAATTTACGACAAGGTGGATCCACATGAATTTGGTCTGTGCAGGTTGGTACAAAAGCTTTGCAAAGGAAAGTTTCAACATTTGGTGAACAGTTCAGATTTGCAAGAGGAAGAAAGTGCTATTAAGAAAAACAGCAAGATAAGGTTAGAAAATTTTATAATAACAAATGGAGAAATGAGTTCATTTACTATTTAAAGTATATACATTTTCACTTATACTCCCAAAGAATATTTAAATATCACTCTCAATACAATACAATACAATACAATCAAGTTTTGAGATCATTTTATTTAGTCTGTTAGACTTCGGAACCTTCAGACACATTGTAATATATTTTATTCAATTAATACATTTTTAAGAAGATGTGCTAAATCAAAGCAAATCTAAAGAATGAACTGTTAGGTGAAATAAATTATACAAACATTCCATTTATAAGTATATGCGGAAATACCCTAACACTGACTGAGTATTCTGGAGAATAAAGCAATTTGGGGACAGAGGGAACAGCATGAAAAAGATGTGAGGATCACGAGAACACAGTGCATTCAGGGCAAGAAGTTCAGGGTGACAGTAATAGAAGGTCAAAGAGGTGGAATCAGGGCAGACTAAAGAGAGCGATGAGACTGGACCTATCACAGGGAGCACGGATGGCATGCTAAGTTGTTTGGATTTTAAAATAAAGGAATGAAATATTACTGGAGAATTTTAAGCAGGAAGTAACTCTGGGGTCTCACAGCTGAGTGTGAATCCTAGGTCCCCACTTACTGGCTGTGTATCTTGGGCAAGTTACTTAACTTCTGTGTTTTAGTTTCTTCATTTGTAAAATGGCAATACTAATAGTAACTGTCTCATAAGATTGTTGTGACTACTACATTAATAAACATAAGCATTCAACAAATGTTAGTTATTGTGATGATTACACTTTAGGGCATAGGGATGGGTCCTGGATAAACATGGTATATTGACCACATGTGTTTATCTTTCTTCCCTTGTTCCCTCAGTAAAATGACAATAAAGAAAATAAAGATACTAATCCATTATTATGTGAACAGGAGATGCTACATTAATGTATTTGAGTTTTCCAAAGAAAAGAAACATCTAAAAAGAAAGTCCTAAAACTCTGAGTGACAGAAAGCTATTAGAAGAGTGTGAGGTGACTTAATCAGACATGGGGGTGGATTACAAAGTACGAGTGGAGGGAATCACATGAGAATGGACTGATTTTGCCCCTAAGAAACAGAGGGTCTCAGTTCTTCCAGGCACAAAGGTAAAAACTGAGGGCTGTTTACAAATCAGTTTCTCTCTCTGTTATGCCCCCACACCCACCCCAACAGGCAGATGCCCACTAAAATCTATCGGGGTTATTTCCAGGAGAAATGGAGCTACAGATGTTCTTACACTTGAGCTACCCAGCACAGATCTGGGCAGAGATACAGCACAGGTGAAAAGAGGTTGGACTGACTAAAAGACTAGGGAAACATGAAGCCCTCATCCTTTTCCTTTCTTGTTTCCAAAAGGTTGGCAGACAGGCAAATACCACCATCCCTGATCTTTTAAAAAAAAAAAAAAAACTCAACAGTCTTGGACAAGAGGAAAAACCTCTAGATAGAGACCATGGAAAAGCTTGACCTCACCTTACTATTGAAGCCCACCAGCAACGAGCCCCATTATTGCACATGGAGATTTCAATGCACACAACTTTAAACGGGCAGCCAAGAATCACCAGGCATTTGAGTAAAACCTTATGAGAGACAGACCACAACAAGCAAGCAGATACAGGGAAATTTGGAGGGAACAGATTATGCGGGGGACAGAAGAAAACAAAACAAAATAAATCACAAAATAAACAAAAAATGTTAATGTTAGATGAGAAGCTATTGCATTCATTAAAAAGAATAGGATGCTATGGAAAATTAAAATAATAAGATGGCTGAAATAAAGAACTCTATGGAAGGATTAGAAGATAAAGCGGAGGAAAGAGATGGACAATTATCAACAATGCTTTTGAGATTCTACCATTAAATAATAACTAAAATAGTCCTGTTGATTATAGTTTTAATGCTCAGAGAAATAAGTTATAGGCTCCTTTAAGGGAATGGTGAGTCCCTGGAAGAAATCTGTGGTAGTTAACTATTAGTACCAGCAGGGACAAAGAAGAAGAGGGCAATTAAGAAGACCACTAATACCTCCACCTGAAAAATAGCCAGAGCCAAATGATGATAGACAATGAGAGCCAAAGTAAGTGGAGCATTTTATGTAGCCCTGCCTGGAAATGATGCCAGCTCTGCCATTCTGTCTTTTGAGATAATTTTCTGTCTTTGGGTCTCTGAGCATCCATTAGTGATATGAGAGCAAGGAACCACTAGTTGATCTCTAAGGACACTTTGTGGCTCAAAAAGTTTATGAAGAGGGTAACCAAGCATTAAGCAACAGGGCTGGACTTAAATTCCAAAACAACTGTAGGTACTACAAAGAAATGTTCTCCTTGATAGGTAACTGCCTTGTATTGAGCTCTAGAGGGAACATCTATCACTTCTGCCTGCCCAGCAGTCCTGTTTTTGGGAATTCCAAAGTAGGTGGGATGCTACAGAAGCTTAAGGAGGGATGATATAGGGAGCAATCTGACAACAGAACCAGCTTGGCCATTTGGATGCTCTAGGTATTGTGATATTTTGGGAGAGGGTTGTACAAAAGAACAGATTATTTGAGGCAACTTCAGTGGGGAGGCAATAATGCCCACAATGTCAAAATAAGTGTTGAGGGACAATGGCACTGACATTGGGACAGGCTGGTCCTGGGACATGATCCTAGCGGTGTCCTCGTTCCCTTTGCTCCTCCCTATATTCTGAACCTGGTTCTTCAGCCTCCCCATTGATTTGACAAGTTACCCAACATTCGTTCATTTTCTGCTTATGTTAGTCAAAGTTGGTTTCTATTGTTTGCAACCAAGACAGACTGGCACAGCAATTATATATGTGATCTCAGTAAGAGGAATGGAACTGGTTTTCTAGACTTAAACTGAGACTAAAAGCAGTGAATATTCTGTCAGTATTTAGAGATGGAAATCTGACAGCCCATGGTATATACTAGAAAAACCCGATTGAGTTATCCTTGTAATCCTACAGATCCCAACAACGTCTAAGAATGCTGTGCCCAGGGAAGGCAAGGCTGAGTGAAGAGCATGAACTTTCAAGGACTACGGCCTGAGGTGAGTGCGCTAGTGGCACTGCTTGGCTGAGGAAGAGAGTGACAAACCGGCAATCCGAAGCCTTGGCTGGAGGTGTGGAGTGAAACACAGGGATTAAAAAGACTTAATGCTTAAGAAGTTGAACACCAAATGGAGTTTGGTCCTGCAGGTTGCCAAATTGTATCAGTTAAATGTATTTCCTTTTCACAGAAATCTAGTGGTACTGTGATAAGGAAACAGTGGGGCCCTGAGACCTGAAGCGGGGATACATGGCAAGGTTCAGAATACTCGCGGTGCTCTGAACCCAAAGCCATCACAGCATACCCTAATCCCATGTCTGCTGAGGCATCTGAAAGATGGACTTTGCAAGAAGGACATAAACAGCCTCCTACCCCATCTCCACCACGCTTCAATGTCTCAACTTATAAGTACAGTACAGTTCTATCCCAGGTTGTCCTGGAAGGGTCAAATCAAGATGGAATCTGGAAAAAAGAATTATATATTCCTTACAAGACACTATTATTCATTTGTGTTGCTTCTGAACGTGATGGGTTCAGGAGGAAAGACCACAATTTTAGAGGGGGCTAAGTTACACTGCCAAGGGTATGTTAATTCTAGATCCAATGTGCCAGCTTCAGAAACAGAGTTTTTTGGACGTTAGATGATAAATAGGCTTTTGACAGGGGCTCGTTGGGACCCCAAAACCAACCCACTGTAATTTCCTAAGTCCACGGATGTATACTTCAAATACTGTGTTTAGCAACAGCACAATTGCTATCTGGATAAATTTTATCATGGTAGAAGGGGCCAAGTGAAAACCATTAGAGGAGTCCTGCTAACATGACAGAAAATCAAGAGCAATACTGCAGTCCAGGGGACTTTCGCGGATTGGTGACACTATCAAAAACATATTCAGGGGCAGTAATTCTTAGCACCTGCCCGTTTAAATTCTCTAGTACAACTGGATACGTTATTAATAAATGGTCGTAAGCCACCTTAATCAAGTGGATAAAGTGCTTTTCCAGATTGGTGTCTTTACAGTAGCAAATCAGTACAATCCTGGCACCTCATATGCAGCTCTAAACTGACCCATGCTATTTTCTCCAAAAGCAATTCGCTTTCATGCAGGAGGGACAGCAGCACAATTTGCCAAGTGGCCTTAGGGCAGAGGCTCAAACAGTGAACCAGCAGCGGCAGCAGCAGCAGCATACCCGGGGAACTTGTTAGAAATGCAAATGCTCCATCCCACCCAGTGCAGGATTTTGGGGCGGGGTCAGGGATCTGTTTTAACAAATCCTTCAGATGATTCTGATGCACATCAAAGCTTGAGAAGCAATGCCTTAGAGCATCGGTTCTCAACCTGTGGGTCGCAACCCCTTTGGGGGTCGAACGACCCTTTCACAGGGGTCGCCTAAGACCATCAGAAAACACATATGTAATTACATATTGTTTTTGTGATTCATCACTATGCTTTAATTATGTTCAATTTGTAACAATGAAAATACATCCTGCATATCAGATATTTACATGACGATTCATAACAGTAGCAAAATTACAGTGATGAAGTAGCAACGAAAATAATTTTATGGTTGGGGGTCACCACAACAAGAGGAACTGTATCAAAGGGTCGCAGCATTAGGAAGGTTGAGAACCACTGCCTTAGAGGAACATCAGCTCTCCTGCTCTGTGCCTCAGTTTCATTGTCAGAGGCTCTAACCATATCACTGTTTGAAAGGACATTATACTGGCCCATTATACAGTCAAACCTCAATTCTTAACCATCTCCCATCTTGAATAATTCGGTTCTCAAACAAGTAGTTCACTGAAAAAATGTCTCGGCTGACAAACAACACTTCAGTTCTCCACCTGACAAGCCTCTCATGCTGGTACTTATATGATCAGTCCCGCATCTCTCAGGTGAGTATGAATCA